TCTTTTTCGACGATATCGCCGAAGCGACGTCTCCTCTCTTCTCCCCAGACGGGGCAACGTCACCAAGGCAATGTCATAGAAAAACGAGGTGACGTCGGCTCTCTCTCTCTCTCTCTCTCTCTATATATATATATATATATATATATATATATATATAATTTTTTTATATTTATATTTATATTTATTTATATTTATATTTATATATATATATAAGTAAAAACAAAATCTGCGAAGTCGCCTCTAGTTATGTATATATTTAGATATATATATTTATATATAAAAGTAAAACAAAAAAATCTGCGACGATGCCTCTCTTATCCGCACGCGGGGCGATGTCATAGAAAAACGAGGCGATGCCGCCTCTCTCTCTCTCTCTCTCTCTCTATATATATATATATATATATATATATATATATATATATATAAATCTGCGACGTCGTAGAAAAATGAGGTGACGTTGCCTTTATATATATATATATATATATATATATATATATATAAAAGCAAAAAAAAATATCACCCGGTAGTGAGCTGTCTGTGTCTCAGTCTGCTGGCAGATCGGTATGTACCACCCGGTATTATTCAAAATTGAAGACCTTGCTTGGAAGTAATCTTAATTATGATCAGACATTTGGATGGTAAATGTACTTTCAACTAAGGTTTGAAATATCGTACCGTACCGGCATTTTGATATTCGTTCGGTACGGTATGATACTGTATACCGAGCGATACATTATTCGGCATATATATATATGTATATATATGTATATATGTATATTTCGGCGACGTCACCTCTCTCTTCCCCCTCTTTCCCAAGCGGGGCGACGTCATCGAGGCAACGTCACCTCGTATATATATATATATATATATATATATATACATACATATATTGTCCGATAACGGGCGATCCGTATACCGGTCAGTTGACGGACCGGTACGTACCACCCGTATTGGGTGGTATTATTCGAAACTGTATACCTTGCTTTCAGCCATAGTATTTGAAAGAGTACCCAACTGATGAGGCTGCAGTAGAAAGTTGCTTTTGAACAAAACTAAAAATGTAATGTCATAGCAAACCGGGAAGGTAATTTGAGTTATTTGAATTGTGAATAAGAAGGAAAAGAATTCATTGTATGCTTGTCTTCGAGTCATTCTAGTTATAGATTGGATCAGGAGAGTTTAGACAACATTTTGTGGGATTTTGAGATTTATGAGTCATTCTTAAATCATTATGAGTCATGTTTGGGAGAATTCAAGTCGTGGTTAGACTACATTTTGTGGGATTTTGAGATTTATGAATAAGAAATTTACAACCACGAATGATCTTAGTTTATGATGTATTGTAAGCCTTAGAGGCTGTCTCATGAAATTGTTTATTTCATTATTGTAATAGATTTATCATAGTTTAGTGGCATAGTCTCCTTTTTCTCTCTCTTTCATCCGTGGGAGACAAGTTCAATTTGAAACTTCAAGGTCCAATGTCAGTTTCTTTTTTCATCATGAAACAAATTTATATTTTGGTTTAATTAATCTTGATAATTTTTTCAGGTTTTGGCAAACAACTCTGATGGTTCTTCAGAAGGGTCCCTATTTCAAGTTATGAATCATACGTGTACTGCATATGGATCAAGGCTTTTCAAACACTGGGTAAGCTTTTTGGTATAGTTGTACTTGATTGCACTGAAATGCACATTTACTGCATAATCTCTTAATATGAAGTCATTTTGAGTGACACTATGAAGCACTTTCTTCAACTAAACGGGAAAAAGAAAAAAAAATAAAGAAAAAAAATATGCAATACTTTTCCTTCACTTTCAAGTTAGCATAACATAAGTTGTTTGCATGAAGAACACAATGTTTCTTCCCCAGTTCTCTCTATTCTTTGTTGATATTCAAGTTTTTATTGCAGGTAACTCATCCTTTGTGTGATAGAAACTCAATATCAGCTCGGCTTGATGCGGTTTCTGAGATTGCTGAATCAATGGGCTCGTGCAAGGGGTCACAGGTGGAAATGGAGCTTGGAGTTGAGAATCACTCTGATGCATTTAGGCAGTCCGAGCTCAGTGAGGTTATGTCTTCAGTTTTAACTATGCTAGGGAAGTCACCTGATGTTCAACGAGGAATATCGAGAATTTTTCATCGAACTTCCACAGTAGCAGAGGTAGTGCCGGACCTGTTGGTTTCTTTGGTTAAGATGCAATTGTAGAATAAAAATTGGTTCCCAATGGTATTCTCAAGTCTTGATAGTCTGACATTGATATAATTAGTACAGGATAAATCTATTATACCTGTATCATGGTATATCATGTATGTGCTATTCCTTCCTGCACTTTTTTTCCTGTGGAAGATGTATATTCTTGCAAGATATCCACAGTTCTCAGAATATGTTTTCATTTATATCCAATTCATTAACTTGAAGCACAGTTTTAGTTGGCTTCTTCTCGAGTTCTGTAGGCATTTCAAGAGGTAAAATCAATCGCTTAATTCTGGTGATGAAGTTGTAATCAAAATTAATCTTCCAAGAGAAATCTTATATATCTTTCTAGTCACTTGTAATTAGTATTATTGGGTTGAAGTTATTGCTATTGGATTGTACTCAAATGACCTCTTCAAATTATGTATTGGCAAACTCTGAAGTACATTAATTGTCTATATCATGTCTTAGAATAATGTATAACTCTCACTCAGCTTTTTTATTCGCCCTTAGGGAAAATGGTATGTTGCAGCTAGCTAAATGGATATTACCTATTAAACAAAGAGTAACATACTTGTCAATTAGATAGCATTCCATACAAATAATTCTTTGTTTAAGTGTTATATTGTGTGTGTGTGTTGTCATACTGAATAACTTGAAACATTTAAGTCTTTTAGATGTTAGAAAAACAGAGAATACATTCCTTTTTCTTCTAGGCACTTTTGCATAAAAGAAAATGCATCTTGGTGATGCCATGTCGAAGTCCAAGGAGTATACCTTTCTGGTGCATTAGACCAATCTAAGAAATTTTATCTTATGTTGCTTCAAGTTAGTTATTCCCAGGCTGACTTCATCAGATATATATGATTCCCATAATTGTTTCCTCAGGGTTATCTTCAGCCATCCAACGGTGTAGTTGATTGGGTTTTAGGGGGAGCAATATCCAATCATTCACAAAATGGCCTTGGGAATATGTTAGCGATCTACTTATCAACCATAAACAATAGTTTTTTTTTTTAACCAGCAGGAACCATGATGCAATAGAGCTGACTACCCTTTTGATGACTGTTTAGTGTTTACAGATACTTGTTGAACACCTTCACAATGCTGGAGGATGGTGTCTCAAGCAATTCATTCTGTAGTCCATAAAATTTTATCTTAACATAGACAAGTTATTGCCTTAAGAAGTTTCAGCAACATCGATAAATTGTTTCCCTTTCAATAAGATATGGAGCTAGTTGAGAATCTAGACTAATCAACAACCCTTATGAGAGTGATTGTATATGCTTGATTGCATCATTGATGTAATGCATTAATTGTGCTTTTGCAAGTGGCAATTTATTTGAGTTAGTGTTGGCAAAAACAAGGTGGTCACATGACATAATAAAAGATTTCTGGATTCAGTAGCCTGGCATGTTTTTGCAGGACTAATACATGCCATTGACATTGTACCATATAGGTGAGTGACATGCTCACACAGCTGTGTCACTGTCAAAAGAGAAAAAAAGAAAGAAAAATAATGAAATAGGTAAAAGATAGTCAGAACCATGAGTAAAAAAGAAATAAAGAAATAATACACATACCTCTACATTCATTGTCATAGAAACAAAAGGCCTCTTGATGTATGATAGACAACTCATGTATGGACCTCAATTCCCACGGTTTAGTTCCACAAAAAAGATGTTAGTTTATAAGGACTTGATGAGTACATTATCATCGATAGGTTATTCCATTAGGTTGAGTATTGGGCATGGTGTGCGGCTTAAGCATGAAAAGGCTATCCATGAATTAATGAGGACTCCAACCTCTTAAGTGAGGCAGATTGTACTACTCTCACATTGGATGTGGACGAAGATCTGATTTGGTTTATTAGGGCTAGATGGATGAACTACCATTATCTTGGAGACTTGAGTATTTTGGTGCAATGGTTCAGACTTAATAAAATTATGAGTCAGTTATCCCATCAAGGTGTAGGTCATGACAGTTTTAGCTGATGGAGGACCAGAGAAAAGTTTGAGAGGGCTTTCAAGTGATGCATTTGATCCAGTCGACCTGCCTCCATTGCTATGAGGCTGAAATGTAGGTGTCTCAGCCAATCTGGCAAAAAAACATGTAAGACTTAGGCAGGTAAAAGTAGGTCTCACTGCCATTAGTAATAGCATGCACCGGATCATATACCTGGTAATGATCTATAATTTTTGGGTATAGTGTCATTGCTAGATGTATGTAATGCTTCATTTTTGGTATTTCTAATGGTTTTCTACTTGAACGAGGTTGGGAGTTTGTTAGCTGTAGATTCTGTCGCACAATATGTCAATGCCTTATCTAAAATGTTCTCTTTCTTATCTATTTTTACAGTTTATCGGGGTCATTCATGCTATACTTATCTCTGGGAAGCAATTACAGAAGCTTTATGTGGAGAGTGATGCAGGTTATGGAGCATCACAGCAAAAAAAAGTCAAATCTGCTTTACTTAGAAGGTTGATTTCGACTGCTGCTTCACCTACTGTAATGGGTCATGCTGTTAAACTTCTATCATCTCTAAACAAGGATGCAGCTGATCAGGGTGACATGTTGAATTTATTTGTTTCATGCACCAATCAATTTCCTGAGGTAAGGGACTACAGTGTTGGTTACAATTATGCTCGGTTATAATGAAAAATTTGTGAGGAATTTTTATTTTCAGATTGGTAGAGGCCGTATAGCTGTTCAGTTGGCAAAGGAGAAGCTGGATTTACTTATTGTCCAATATCGGAAGCAGCTTGGAGTGCGCAACTTGGAATTTATGGGTGTCTCTGGGAAGACACATATGATTGAAGTAATATTGCCAATTGAACATGTTTTTTTTACTTATCTGGACAAGTTCCAAGTTTCTTTGACCCTTTTGTGCTTATGCTTGGTGCACTTGCATTTGCATTTTTTTGTTATGGAGATCGGATCCTTTCTACATCCTATGCCACACGTCCATATTGAATCTTATGATCTGTTTCCTGTTGCTTTCTGCCTATCTGTTTTTCATTTTGTCACATGGAATTAAATGCAATTTCCACTATGCTACATGCCAACAATGTCTTGGATATAGGATCCTATCTACTTTCTATGCTACACATCAACATTGAATCTTCTGATCTGTTCCCTGTTGCTTTCTTTCTCTTTTCATTTTGTTACATGGAATTAAATACAATTTCCACCAGCTTAAAATTCATTTATTGCTCTTAGTTGGTTCCACTGGTATAATTTATTCTTGGAACTTGTCAGGTCTTAGCTCGAATGATGTCAATTCATACTTCTTCAGATGATTATTAGCATGTCAGGGTTAATTCTGTTTCACTTTAAGCAAATTGGATTCCATTGACCTGCTAATGATTCTACAAAGCACCCCCATGCCTTAAATGGTTGTTTTTAACAAGCCTTTGGAGTCTTCTTGAACTGATAGTATTGGTGTGCAAATATGAGGGAAATTTTCTTTTCTGATGTGTTGATCTTTTTTCCTAATTGAATTGTATTCCTGTGGTTCTAGCTGCCAGCAGATTTAAGGGTGCCTTCGAACTGGGTAAAAGTCAGTAGTACTAAGAGGACCATTCGATATCACCCACCTGAAGTGTTGGCAGCCTTAGATGAATTGTTGCTTGCCAGAGAAGAACTTGCTGTTGCATGTAGGACAACATGGGACAATTTCTTGATGAGTTTTGGGAAATACTATCCTCAGTTTCAAGCAGCTGTTCAAGCTCTAGCTGCTTTGGACTGCTTGCATTCACTTGCCATCCTCTCAAGAAATGAGGTATATGAAAACTGTAGTTATTTGCTTACATTTGTGTCTTATTTACAGTCTGAGTAGCATGTTGATATTTATCTTCAATTTTTTCTGCAGAATTATGTTCGTCCTGTTTTTGTTCATGATGATGAACCTAGTCAGATCCATATCTCCTCAGGCCGTCATCCTGTGAGTAGCAATGATTTTGATATGACTCTTCATGTTTTTTTAATTTCATATCTCCTCAGGCCGTCTCCATATCTCCTTTATAACCAGTAAATTCTGTGTTAATTGCATATATCGCCTAGATTCAACAATTTTCTCATCTTTGTTGTTGTTCCTGTTCTAGTCTCTTATCAGAATCCTGTATCTGTTTCCTCAACTGTGTTTCAAATGTCATCTCTGTTACTGGCTTCTTGTTGTTGCAAGAGTTGCCTTTTTGTAACCTCATTTTGTTGTTTATGCACTGTGGTGTGACCTGTATGTGTGCCATTGATCTAGTTCCATTTGATCCTGTCAGTTATTGTTGCATTTCTGCTGCATGTCCATTGATATTTATATTTCACAAAGGGAAGATAAGCCACTGTGCATTTGCTCGAATCAGTGCAAGAATGGGATAGTTCATTTTGCATTGTTTCTAAGATGTAGCAGTTGACACTGTTCTTGTGGAGTGATAAAACATGCCTTTGTGAAGCCTTTCATTTTCTTATCTAATGATCCTTGGCTATTTGGTGATTGAAGAAGGTTATATTTATACCTTTGTTTCTCTGACTCTAAAATTAAATTGTACAACACTGCATGAAAGCAAGTCACTGTTTGCAGAATTTTCTTTCCTTTTATAATATATTAATATGCTGGTTAAATGTGATCATATTCTGCCGCTGCAGGTTCTGGAGTCAATCCTTGGTGATAACTTTGTCCCTAATGATACCGAGTTGCATGCCGATGGTGAATACTGTCAAATTGTGACTGGACCAAATATGGGTGGGAAAAGTTGCTACATTCGCCAAGTCGCTCTCATAGCAATTATGGCTCAGGTATAAATAGGTCTTTGGTTGATGATCTATACTTTAGGATATCAAATTACTATTGTCAATCCTCATTTAATTTTTAGTTTTTGATGGTTTACTGAAGATCATATTGTGCATAAAGCAGTAATGTGCGGATTTTTTTTTCTTTTGTTTTGATGTTGATGAGATAGTTCCTTCATAAACATTGCTAGGCATGTCATTATTCATCTATTTGTACTCATCTTATCAATTTTTGAATGAAAATATTCTTGAGCACTATCAAGAATTTAATCATAAAGTGGTGGTTTAAGTAGTGTCAAACTTCTTTTTTTTTTTTTATCATTTCTATTTGTCTGGTACATCTAACTTAGTTATGTCATCCTTTTGTTTCCTGGTTCATTATGAATACTAGAAAACTTTTACTAGATGCACCACTAAGATGGCCTTATTCGTGTTGCTCTAAGTAATTGTTGAGAGTTCTTTTTTCGTGATAATTGTGTCATGAAGATGTACCTCTGATTCATCTAGGTTGGTTCCTTTGTACCAGCATCATTGGTAAAGATGCATGTGCTGGATGGAATTTACACTCGTATGGGTGCGTCAGACAGCATCCAGCAAGGAATAAGCACCTTCTTTGAGGAGTTGACTGAGGCTTCTCAAATACTACATAATTGCTCATCATGCTCTCTTGTCATCGTTGATGAACTTGGTCGAGGCACAAGTACATATGATGGTGTTGCAATTGCTTATGCTACATTACAGTATTTTCTTAAACAGAAGAAATGCATAGTTCTTTTTGTCACTCACTACCCAAAGATTCTGGATATCCAAAAAGAGTTTAAAAGTTCAGTTGGGGCATATCATGTTTCCTATCTGACATCGCAAAAACCTCTTGAAATTACTGAATCTGAATCAATATCTAGTGCTGATAAGCTTTGTCACAAAGAGGTTACTTTTCTTTATAAGCTTGTAACGGGTGCATCGGATAAGAGCTTCGGTCTTAATGTTGCCAAGCTTGCACAGGTAATTTCAAATTATCATTATCTAGAAATTCTCTGCTATCTTATGTTTCTTTACTAGCCTAGCTTTGTGTATGGTCCTGAAAGTACATTCATTATTGGGACTTCTCAATTATATCCTAATGGAATTGAGGATTATTTCCATCACATGTGTAATCACATCTGTTGTATTATATTACTTGTTTTATTTACATATATAATGCTTGTTAAATAAAAAACACGTAAAATCCAAAAGAAAACTGGAAAGAGATTATGATGGATCTGAATTTGAAAAGGTATCGTATATGGTTGAAAAGTTTCAATAGTTTGTCCAATAAACAACTCATGTATGACCGAGGAGTAGGAAAAGGATTCCCAAAATCAAAAATAGTTTGAACTTTGAAGTTTATTCTATTAGTTCTTATTGCTCAGCCCATGCTAAGAAAGGGACAGAAACTGATAATGAAAGGGTTAATTTATGTTTACTAGAACGGAGTACCTTCATTTTGACTGTTCACATACGTGAGGGATGCAGAACTGGTTAGATCTCCAATACTGTTTACCTAAGCTTTCTTTGTCCAATTTTACTGCATTTCAAGGTGCACATAGAAGGTCCTAAAGGAAATAGGGACACACAAGGTCACAAAGGGAATAGGATATTTTGAATCTCATTTTGCCCATGCTGAAGATTGTGGACTGTAAATGCACATTTATTTCTGGAAATATGTATTTCAGAGAGGAATAATCAATCTTGATTTTAACATTTTTTTAGCTTACCTCCCATTTTATTAGCTCTTTGATGTTTGCTTTTGGCAAAGAAATGATTTGCAAGAGTTTATCTTTGTGCTAAATATTGTTACATGTCAAACTTGTACCTTATGTAACCTTGTAATTTGTATAACAGTCAATATTGGCATGGAGTTACAAAGGTATGTGTCACTTTGAAGTGTTGAATAGCTTTTTATTGTGTTAGGTCAGTAACATTATGTACTAGCAATAGAATTTCATAAGATTTGGAAGACATTGGCCTTGGATATTTCTTTAAATCGTTGAATTGGATAAAAAAATTACATTTTATCTTAGTTTCTTAGACGAATTATTTTGCATATTAGTCCCTGGTGTCTACTGATCTGCAAATTGATTTCTTGAATCCCATATGTTAGTGCCAAATGGGCCTCTTGGTTAGTTGGACCATAGATGAATAAAATATGTCACGGATACTTGCCTTTTTAACATTAACATAGAAACCTTGGATAACATAGAAACTTTACAAGATGTGTTGACAATTTACACGAATTTTATTAGTGGTCTTTCTACCCTTCTTTTCCATTATTTCGGTCAATGATTCACAAGAAATTTAATTATTTAGCTTGGCTTTCTTTGGATTTTCCAATTGGGTTCCTCTCATCGCCCATCTCTAATCTAACCTTGATGGTGGTAAGAATGTGAGATAAGCATCAGTGGGAACAAAAGTAGGATCTAACTAACCCCTTTTTATTGATAGATGAGACGGATGAGAACAAAGTGGAGTTTATGAGAAAGACTAAAATCTAGATCTTCTTGTAATGCTTCAATATATATATGACATCCAAAATAGTCTCGAGTTTAATAGTGAGACTAAATAGTTCAATTGCCTTGATCTAATCTTGAGTTATCTTCGTGAGTAGCATAGATGTCAAATAGCCCATATAATGGAACCTATTTGAAACCCATGTGTTTGTCTGCTTCATAGGCTGTTATTGGTAGCTCAGGAGACAAACTAAACATGAAATCAAACCATCAAATTAGATTTAATTGTCGTTTACAGTATAATAGTGCAAACATTGACTTGTGACTTGTCAGTTATGTTTCAATTTTTGACATGCTTAATTCCATATGAGGAACCTGAATGTGTCATTTTATCTTTTGTATGTTTGGTGCAAGATCATGTTGGTACAGGAACTAAATCGACACCATTTATCGGAAATTTGACTGAACAGATGCTTTAAATTTGAAATATTTTCCCGGTTCCAGAACGAGTAATTAGCTATTATTTTCTTCAGCTACCAGCTTCGTGCATTGCACGGGCTGCTGTCATGGCTGCAAAGTTGGAATCAGAAGTGAGCGAGCATTTGGGAAGCAAAGAAGGGAGGTTAATTAAAGTGTCATCTCAGAATGAAAATTTAGATCATTCTTCTGAACTATCTGAGTTCTGCAAGGAACAAGAAGACTTTGCTGACTTGGCAAAAGCATGCCATAAAGTGTTGTTTTATATGATGTCTGCCTTGAATGAGGCTGAACCTGTGAACATGTTGTGTTCATTGAAGAATGCAAGAGACATTGCATCCAAGTCCATAGATCATACAGGGGACATGCTTCCACTATCTTTTATCCCCACAAAAAGGAGACAATGAGGTTGGCTTCAATGATTACAAGAGCTCATATCATCCAACCACCATGCCAAGATCACTGGAGAAATCAACATACAACACCTTGGATGCAAATTGAAATTGACCGAACAGGTTACTGAAGGCTCTTTGATGCGTTATGTAAAATTGCAGATCCCCTTGCTGCCATAGTGAATAGTATAGAAACGGAATATGGTGGCGGTTCCATGCATATGAAATTTTGTTTAGCTTCACTCTTTGATCCCTGAGAAAATTGTTTATAATATGTGAAGCTTGTATATATATTTCTTCCAGGGAGCCTAGCTTAAATTATGCTTGCTGTTGCTCCTAAATCTTGTAGAGGGAAAGTGGAAAAAGTAAAAGTATGCATTGCTTATTCTGATAAAATGATAAAGCAGTAATGATGTCAAGTCTATCAGATGTTTTATGCTCAGTGATCATCACCTAAGACTCATTTGGCATTGAAGCTTCATCTATTTGTAATTTGTACCAATTTTTATGATCTTATCACTTGAATATAATTACTATCGTCAGTAGGGATTGTATGTATAGGCATCAAATCAGGATCCAAGATGGGCATCATAGTCCACCCCCTTGTTTATGGTGTGGACACGTAGTTATCTTTTAACAAAATTGTGACCCCTTTTGTGGATTGGATTCTTCTATTGTAAGCCACTAAATGAGTGCTTAATCCTGCATGCCTTCGTCATCGTTAGCCAACATATGGTCTTTTCTTAATCTTGGCAGGACGGATACTGCTGTCGGTGAAATCGGAGTCTGCGATACTTTTTACCATTTTCGGATCCTAACTGGATCCGATGGATTATAACCAGGTAAGGGAGCTCGACGACCTGTTCATCCAATACCCGACCCGAATCCGAACTGATGACATCCCAGCACCACCGCCGAGATCCCAGGTTTAAAAGACTTGGTACTGTTTCATTCCAAAAACCCGTCGACCCAACGCATCGTTGCCGCTCGACCATCCATCCCTCCATGTTCACCGCTTCTTCCCTGCGCTATCCCGAGATGTGGAAAGGAAGAAAAAGGAGCTCCCGTGGCCGATGCCATCGATCTCTCCGCCATTGATGGTCCTCTCCTCTTCCCATCTCCAGCTCCGACAGGCCCCCTCCGTTCGACCGGTCCGTGCGATCCTTCCGAGTCCCTTTGGCCTCGCACCCTTCTCCTCCGGTTTTTAGGGTTTAATGTTCGATTTGATCCGGTCCTGGAGGAACGATGCGAATGAGGGATCGATGCTGGTCGTTTTGGTCTATTTGGATTTTCTTTGAATCATTGTTGGTGATTTGTTTCATTCTGATGCGATCTTGCGTTCTCGATTCGGGGTTGTTTGCTTTTCAAATGTGGTGGTAGCGTTGGATTTGTCTGCCCCGAAAGCAAAGTGGATGATGGATTTAGCTTGTGGTATCTTGATTACGGCATCGGTTGGTCTTCGGGGTTTAGATACAGAGGACAGAGTCACTGTGTTCTTCGTTGCATTAGGATATGCTTCTAGTCTTTTTCTTTGGGAAGGAAAGGAAATCGCTGATGATTGGTCGTCTTGTTTAAAGTTCCGTGTACGGGACAGATCATGGTGTTCCGTTTAGTTTGTTGGGCAATGGAGGAGACATTTTGAATGCATTTTCTTGAACTCTATGGAGGAAACTTCTGAAAGGATCGATGCGGTTGGTTTGTCAGATGAACGATTCTTTGGCATTTGTTGGTGCTAGCAAACAAAATTTTGATGTGACCCAGAATAACTTTGTAGATGAGCAGGAAGACTCTATAGAGGACTCAGAAGCAGGGCCTCTCTTTGATGGAAAACCGACTGAACAAGTGGCTGAGGAAAAGGAAGCTTATCAGCTGGATGAGTTGAGGGATTGCTTCAGAAGGCTATCAAGGAATTGCAGGTTGCTCAGCTCAACAGTCCTTGTGCTGGAATACAGGGCATAGAAGATATCTGAAACAGCAATCGCCTTAAAAGATGAAGCAGAACGTGCTTGGTGAGACGTTAATTCAGCTCTTTCTACCATTCAGGAGATTTTTTTAATGAAGAAGACATTGCCAAAGAGGCAGTCCACAAGGACACCGTGGCTGGTAGCACGAGTAATTGATTACAAAAAGAAGATATCATCAGAACCTTCTGTGAGGAATCATGAGAAACAAGCACTGGTATGTAAGGAAAGCTTGGAAAGCTGCGAGGAAGGATCGAGATGCATTCGAATGGGGAATGAGGAACTGCAGCAGAAGGAAGTAGAGAAGTTGCGGGAGATTGCTGAGAAAGCTCAGCTGGATTTTGGAGATGCAGTGAGCTGAGAGTTTAGGAAACTTTTATAATGCTTTTCCACAATTATCTTACATAATAAACTGCAACACGAATTTTGTAACTGGAATTTTTAGATTGGGGCTGAGGGGACTCGTGCTGCTGCCATAGCTTTAAATACTCCTGATGCAAATTATAGAGCAGTTTGGACGGTGAGCAACTATCCAAATGTTAAGACATTTGTTCAGGTCCACAAATGTTGATCATGGAATTAATTTGTAAAAGGAAGGTGCATCTGCGGAAAGTTATGGTCACACCTTTCATTTCAACACATGGTACGAGAAAAAAAAATATTATCAAGAACATGTTTTTCTCTGTTAATTGTTTAAATACAACTATATATTGTTGTGAAAAAAGGTGTTTTTGATATCCTAATCAGACTTGCTATTGCAAATTGTCAAGGTTGTACCAGACTTTGGAACCAAATCTCCAGTTAACTGCTGTTGTTCTTGCACAGGTAAATTGACTGTTACTGTGATTAGTGTCGCACTGATTGAACCTATATGGCTATATGTTCAGTGAAGCTGTGAAACTTTGTGCTTCACTAGGAAAGTTGGCCAATCTCAGAGCTTGGTGCCCCAATAAATGAATTCACAACTCCTCGTCTCTCAGAGCTCGCTGAGGTAAAAATGTCACCAACTGTTTCATGTTGTAGTTAACTGAACTGAGCCTTGTTTACCTCTTAACAACGTTGGTGAACTGTTTTTATTTTTTCACCTTATTGAGCAATTTGCAAATTCCCTTTGAGAAAATCATGGTTATACTTTTTGCTATACTTTGAAATAATGGTGTCATATTATAAGATAAGCACAACTTCAGCCAACCCTTTTATAGTTATCAATCTATTTAATGTTACTTAGATACTGGCTGCTTCCATAAACATCCTTTATAATATAATTACATTATTTAGTAGCACTCCTTATGTAGTGGTTGTTATTATTATCTGTATGAAAATAGTAAGTGACAAATTGTAAATATGTTTTCCTTGCATCACTATTATACATATTTTTGGGCATTATATCATAGGAAGATGATAGATTTAATAGGATTTTCATTACATTTTGTCCTTTTTTTGCACAAAAATCAGTATAACATTTGCCGGACAGTAACCAGCAGGTCTCATCCTATCTGTAAGCCTTTTCCTTTTATTTGAATTTGCCGGACAGAAATCAAAGCAACAAATGCTCACCTAATGAAAAATTGAGGTCCTGGAATAGCACTAGTCAACCCAAATGTAAGACAATTTTTTGTAGCTTTAGGAAAATATTCCTCAAGATATGCTTCAGAGAGAGTTAACTTTAGGAAACACTTGTAGCTTTTGTGCAACAAATGCCTTAGCATTGGACAAGTATTACTCAAACCAGCAAGTCCTCTCTTATCTCAGGCCATGCGAGGGATAAATGCTTAGCATTGGACAAACTAGTAAGAGATCAGATCGAACATCAACAGATCCGGGACTTCCCAAATACAACAATGAGAAGAACATTTGCAAAGGTTGCCAGTTAAAATAGAAATTAGGCTTATCATTAGGATCAGTTAAGGCGGCGATCATCAGATTGCTAAAACATAAAACATCTAATTAAAAGAATCACTATCAGAAAAGGCTACAAACATTAATTTTTCCAGCAAACTAATCCTTCGATGCACCAAAAAGTTGGGAACTCATGTGGAAGTTATCATCCATTATTGAGTTATGGGATTATATCTTTCTTTTACATGTACAAGGATCTTGACAATAAATCAGAAAGAATAAGTGAAAGAAAAGAAATCCAGCACACTCTGGCTCCTCTAAACATATGATGTCCAGGTTAGGTTGGTGCCTGCCCTAAGACGATAAAACTTAATATTTCAGATGGCATTAAGACATGGCCTTCATAAAATCTGCCATTCATCATCATGGACGGGATCATCAGTGTCAGTAAAGGTATCAACTGCCAAAAGATCATCGTAAGGAACTGGCTTTGCGGGCTGAAGATTCTGGGCAACAGTAAAGAGTGGTGCCCCGTTTGACTTGTCTGCAAGCTTAGAAGCACGGGAACAAAAGTCTTCGAAATCATCTGTATTAGTTAACTAATCAGTCGACTGTAACTTTCTGCAAAATGGAACTCTAAAGGGAGAACAAGTTACCTTTATCTCTGCAATAGAACCCAATGGCCAACGTTGGGTCGATCATGTCAAGTGGCACATGACGCACAGTGCTGAAACATGAAAGTAAGCCACTTGAGAGGGGTAAGGCATCAAATATATATCAATGTCAGCCACCTAAAACCTTTACGCAGCTGAAACAACATACCTGCAGTGATATGAAGAACTATCAGCTTCCAAATCATCCCTCTTGATATCAACAGCCTATTCAGTGCATACTTAAAATTTCAGTACGATAACAAATAGTCAATCGGTGATCTGATGCATGATCAAATAGAAAATTTTCCTAATGGAAGGTTATATACCGGTTGGACTTCATGAGGATCCAAGTACAGTGCCTTGTTGTCCTGTATGCCAACAATATAGGTAGAGGCCCCAGGTCTTCCACCTAAAATGCCCAGGCTTTGTGGAAATGTAAATGTTTCCCACAACAAAGGAATGTACCTGCACGAAGTATGACATGCTAAATAGCACATCGGAATACCAACTGATAAATTCATCAAAGATTCCCATATTTGTGGTGATTTAGGCAATTATCTAGTATACGTGTAAAAACGAGTTCTTTAAATTTCCATTCACTAAAACAAAACACTTGCCATTTAAGCATGCTTGTTTTTTTTTCTTTTTCACAGTTTAGGTCCACAGAAATGGGAAATAGAAGTTGCCATATAATGTAAAGCTTCGCTATAACATTGTTAGGAGGATTGATTTACCTGGGGTTGATCTTTTCTAGTCCAAGTACCAAAGGAACCAACAACAGAATAGGTGCCCAGTTCAATTGCCCCTTTTTAAAATCATAACATAGTCTGGCAGCAATCTCAATACAGATAACTGGAGCTCCACCTCTCTCCCCATCTTCATCACCTGAAACAGTATATAGAACCATGGGCAAGCTTTCTTTGCATTTATCACTTTCAATTTGCTCTTTGTTAGCATGAGCAAGGGTTTCCCATGTTCGACACATAGCATAAGGACCCAACCATGATCCAGCAGCCAAACCATAACACCTCCCAGCTTGAAGCAGATTGTGCACTGAAAAAGCACATGCCTCCGAGTCACCAAAAAGATGAAGAATTTCAATATACCCAGGATCATGTGGCTGCATAACCAATAGAAAATCATCATAAGCATTCAGAGATATCATGGATATATATGGTTATTCCTTTTACCTTCTGCAAGCGCATCCTCCAAGATCTCCCTAGATGATGAAAGATCAATGCCTGTTAGAAATTTTAGATTAACAAGATAAGCACACATCACTAGTTTCACTGGGACATGTATAAACCTAGATGAATAAGGAGGAAGACTTGGAGTTATACCTGAGCGACAAGCATCTGGCTACTTCTGATCATACATCCCCAGTTGACATCACATGTGAACTTTGAATCACCAATGGGGTCAAAACCTTTCCGGTATGTTATCCAAATTCTTGATAAGAAATCTTCTAGGAAAGCATCATAACTATTGGGAGCATCAGAACCATGTGATGACTCCTCAAGTGAGAGTTTATAACATTTTCCAAGAAACCATATATCACTGGTTGACCTCAAAGTGTCCGCCGTGCTTGTCCATAGTATACACTCTTGAAGTCTCCTCATCGGCCCACTAGTCATGACCTTATTCAGGCTTGTCACCCAGCCATGGCTTCTGGAATTGCTAGACTTGTTTTCAACTGAACCCGTGTTGGAGTGTCGTTCGAAAACCGAAAAAATGGATCTGAAGAGGCCTTGAAACACCGATGGTGAACAGTCTGGTCTGAATTAGCAGCTTTGGATTCTCTAGCTACTGAACCATCATCTGAGTTATGTGCAGGAAATTTGGAGTCCAGAACTCTCCCAAGCAAGTCCGTCATTACCTAAACAAACAAGCACACAGCTCGTTTTCATACCAGCAAAAGCATGGCATCGGAAGGAGGCATCACATGAAATACTGAGCAAAAGAAAAGTTCGAAGGAAGACCAGGTTCCTTACTACCAGCATTAGACATTCAAGTATAGCAAGTTAATCACAGCAGAATAAATTAAAATGCAGTTCAACAAGAATGGTGTTGACTATTTGTGTTTGGTAGGTGTAAAACATTGAAAAGAATGCAAATGATTTGTATTGAGGTGGATTTGGAAGTTGCTAGAAAAGGACCCATCAAATCCACATCAAACTTGGGTAGAAATTAGCCAAGGTGTATTGCATTACCTTGAATTAATATGATGATAAAAAAGGAAATCTAATAATTTGCTTAGATAAAATATAATTGGATGCTGACAGCCGAAAGGAATTACAAGTGTCAAGTATAAACTCCTGTTTACAAGAAAAAGAAACATTGATACGCATTCAACAATGGGAAACAAGAATCTACACTTGGGGAAGGCACTATGACAAGTATAATCTACAATGCAATAATATGAACCAACTTGTGTGTACAATGAAAGACCTAGACTTAGGTAATTGTTCATATAATAACTATTGTTATATCACGAGAAGCTAGAAATCACAAGGCACATGAATCGTCATGTAGAAATAGAAGAGATAAAACTTAGTATAACTAATTAATAACGAGAGAAATGCATATGTATTATGTGTTGAAAACAAATGTAGTAATGTAATAAATGCATATTTGGTTAAACCACATGAATACAAATACTTTGTATAATATAGAGAGCAATGCCATTCAGAAAGGAGACATGTAAGACAGTAAGTTAGTTAGAAGGAAAAAATATATATATATTTGACATAATAAATATATAATTATTGAGGAACAGATTCTTATTAATCAGGTAACAGATTCTTAGTATAATATATAATTATACTAAGAACAGATTCTTCTTCTTATTAATATGTTCCTTACTCTCTTTTTTTCTCGATTAATCAGGTAACAGGCTTTTCTCGATAGTACCAATGTTTTCTTTCAGTCCAAAGCACGCATGTGAAGGTGTCATCAATCAAGAACAGGAGTTCCGATCAAACTACAGAACAGATTCAAGGAAAACCAAACCCCGAAGCAGATGGAGTTTAGCGAGCTCAAGATTGCAGACCGATCCCAACTCCTAAATCACGGTGTACTACTCTTGATGCTGATAGATGCCCTTAATCGCTCCGCTTTCCCTCGCACACCGATCACTACCCGAGATCCCCGATCAGATACTAAACTATTTACGACAAAATTCGAACTATAAATAACGATCGATGGCCAACAACGATCAGCCATTCCTCCTTCACTCATCAACCCGATCCACAAGTAGCGATCGAAAACCTAGAGACAACGAGATGAAATCAGATCGACTCCGAGACAGGAGATCACGCGTCACCTGGGAGCGAGCGAAAAAGAGCGACGGGATTAGGCGCGGCCGTGTCGCATCGATCTCCAACACAAGCCACAAAGTATTTCTAGGTCTCCAAGATTCCTCTTCTACTTCGGACGTTGGTTCAATGGTAAAATATGCAATTCCTTAGAAAAATTCATATTTTCCGAGAACTCCTATTTTGATTTTTTTTTAATAAAAAAATAGAATTCTTTTTATAAAAAAACTAAATTTCTAATATTTTTTCCCAACATAATGTCTTTTATTTTTTTAAAAGATGAGTTTCCGCTTGTACGATCCGCTATCGTTACCTCATTTTTTGTATCGAGCATCGCCTTTATCTGAGGTCATTGCTTGCAAACTCCTCAACCCAAAGTGTATAAGATATCAGGAATAACCTCATAATAATTTTGTTGTTGACCTTTGCTCCACTCCACCATAGTGATAACTCTCAATAACAATCTAAAAGACTCCTAAGACCTCTCTTCCCTAACTCCCTTGATGGAGGTACAGATAGAGACAAGTTCGAGGAGTCGAGGAGGCGGTCTTGGGGGTCATCAATATGGGGGCTATCACAACAAGGGTCATCGTCGTGGTAGAATAAAGAGGAGGTCGATGCAAAGACAATGTCGCTATGAGGGTGATTCCAAGAAAGCGATGAAAGCAGCTTGCTATGTGAGAGGGTGAAAGACGACCACGATGAGACGAAGACGATCACGATGAGATGAAGGTCAAGGGTAAAATGGTAAAGATAACCAAGAAAGGGCATTGTGCGGGAATAAAGAAAAAAGAGGTGATTGCAAGAAATAATATAAACTTGAGGCTTTTTTTTTTGAAAATTTATCAAAATAATATTTACTTTTTTTAGTTGGACAAACATACAATCAACCACTAATTTATCTTTTTCCTATTTTCCCTCCATTTTAAGTAAATCCAAATGAATCGTAAATTAACAAAAATACAAACTAAACACAAAATTAATCTTAAAATTAAAATAAAGTATTATAAAATTATAAGATTATGAAAAAGAAAATAAAAATCATAATGTTAAATATTAAGAAAAGATAATATAATAATTTTATTTTATATTTTATATGAATAACAATTAAAGTCATTAAATAAACAAAAAATTGTTAAATATTAATTCTAAATTTCAAATTTTTTAATAAACCTTATAAATAACTTTTCAAGTCTAATCCATGTAACAAGTCTAATCTATTAGGACCGTAAAAGTACTAAAAGAGAGGGGGGGGGGTCGGGTGAGGTGGTGGTTGAATTAGTGCTTTCTTCAAAAAATTATGATATGAAAAACTTGTTCGATCGAGCTCGTATCGAAAATATATTCGATTAAGCCCGTATCGCAAGTACGTTTAACTTGGAATACGAGTAAAGGTAGCAAGCAACTAAATCAGTAAGCAATAAGAATGAAAATCATGCAAATCAATTAATAGTTGTTCGGTTGTCCCAACTTATGTCTGCTCCCGATTTCTCTTCACTCGAGGCCACCAGCTTTCACTACCGATCTTTTTTTCAACGGGCGAAGATCAATTACTCTTGTTACAATATTTTCTCTTTTTCATAATACTTGTGAAAACCTTTACACATCACTTTTATACTAAGACCTCACTCCACTCTTAGAAGACTTCTAAGACCAAAGAGGAAGAGACTCAACAACTTAAGAGAGTTTATACACTTAAAATCACTAAGAATTTTTTTCCCTTTTCTCTCTTTTTTTTACTATCCCAAGCAAGAATGAGTGGGGTATTTATAGGCCCCAAATGACTTTAGAAATGGAGGAAAAAATTTAAATTCCTAAATTTTCGGGGTATTAGTGGTACCACCGATTACACTAGATAATACCATCACTTGCCACCATATGTACTGGCGGTACCATTGCCCAATCAAGATGGTACCATTGCCAATATGGGCAGTACCACTGCTTGACATTGGGCGGTACCACCGCTGACTCTAGAGGTACCATTATTGGGTTTTTTGAAAAAATACATTTCATACTTTCTAACTTAAGCGATTCTACGACCTGGCCAAGCGGTGCCACCGCTTGGCTGAACTTCAGGTCATTGAATTAGTCTTCTAATAGGCCCAATTCAACCCTGATTCAGGCCTAATGGACCCCTAATCAAGTCAACATAGTTACACCCAAAATTGACTTAATTAAATCATAAACTACTTCGATCAAGACACAAACGATTACAAAACATGAATCCTATATTGTCCGGTATATAATTGGTTCATTCGACACTTCATCAGAACCTTCAGTGCATCGTCCTCTCATTCGACGTATTACCCGATCCATTGGCATGTTGACCTCTTACAACATGCGATCTTCTTAGCACAATGCTTGATCCTTCTGACCCAATGCCCAAACTCATGGCACAAAGTCCTTTTAGCATATCGACCAATCCTCCAGCCCAACGTCTAATCTTCTAACATGATTCTCTCTGGCCTAACGTTTGATTCTCCTACTTCAATCGATTTGATTTTCCATGATCGAAGTTAGTCCTTCGTCACTCAAACGCTCATTAAATCAAAACTTCATCAATTGATTTCATCGTCAAAATCCGAGATTCAACAATCTCCTCGTTTTTTAGGATGACAACTAATTGATGGTGGAGTTTTAACAAAACTCTCCCTGTTTATATGACATATTAAAATAAACTTAAATTTAAAAAATGATAACCTTCTAATCATAATTTTTTTAATTCAAGTCAAAATAATTTTAATGATGGTAACTTTCATATCATTACATACATGATTGCATAATTTCAAATCATCAGATTCTAAAATTTTAAAATTTTAAATGATCATAACTTCTTATCCTTTGTCATCAATAAAAAATAAGAAAAGTATAAGAGTTTTACTTCTCTTTAAAGTATGCAAGCTAGCAATTTTTTACTTATTTTTGAATTGTGCAAACTATCAAGTTTTTGCTCCTCTTTTAGATGTGCAAGATAGGAAGTTTTTGTTTCTCTTATAAGATGTGCAAGCTAGCAACTTTGTTATATCTTTTAAAATTTATAAGCTAACAATTTTTTACTTCTCTTGATATTAGCAAACTAATAATTTTTACTTCTATAAGCTTAGCAATTTTTACTTCTTTTGAGATATGCATAATAATAATTTTTACTCTTCTTTTGAGATTTACAAGCTAGGACTTTTCTATTCCCCTTTGGGAAAGATATCATGGTATAATTCTTTTCCCTTTATATCAATATTCAGATCATGATAGTTATTAATAATAAAAATAAATTTAAATAAAGATATATATATATATATATATATA